TTAATTAATGTGGCATAAAGGAGATATGAATACAAGGAACTTGTGATTCTGCTTCCATTGCTCATTCACTTTTCGTCACGTTGTCTGCATGAATTACTTCGGACGAGTCAGTCTGTAATGCAGTAGGAATTCATGAATTAACTCATTAATAGTTGTTTTTCTATTCAAGTCTGTGTCGTAACAAGCACTGGGAATTTATTCAGTGTCTAACCCTTGTAGTATTTCGTCTATACATCTGGTATTAGCAAGAGAAATTGGTAAGCACCATTTAGATATTACTCGACAATATGCATCATAACTTTGTTCACATTTTCGTCTGCGATTGTGCATTTCGTTTACAGAAAATTATTCGTCAACCCTATAACAGACACATCATAAATCAGTATTAAGTACGACATGGTTTTGTCACCATGCTCAGAAGAGACACCATCGTTTTACTTATGAAGATTTTGTGCCTATTTAATGTGGTGTTATACACTGTTCCTGTATACGTTCAGAAAGCCGGTAAAAAAGACTATCAACGTCAATTGTTACTCACATAATTTTTCTCTGATACGTTACACAATAATATGTCACTTCAGTACAAAACAATGCTACCTATAGTCCAAATAACCTTTTATGGCTAAATACAAACAATTTATATAATATTCATAGTTAGTTTAACGCTTACTTCTTTCTGATTACATTTTATAAACGACTACGGACATCTATGTTTGCCGTCACCATAATCAAGGAGGTGAACCATATATAATGCTTTTCACGGCTTATTTTCATGAAAACTCAATCTGTAATCTATTTTTGACTAGAAAAATGGTGATTTGACTTGTTTGACTTTGTATTGTTAAAAATAACCATATTACGCCAACTACATATTTACTTAGGTGGTGAGCACGAAATACGTCAAACTGCTTATAAATTGAAATAAAAACTATCTTCCAATCACAAAGATTACGAGAAGTCACGTATGATGGAAAAAAGGCTGTTAATAGCTGATAAATAACGACACACAAAATCCACGACAATATGTTACATGTGCGCGAAAACCCGTGACCTAACACGAATAGTGTGCCCAGCATCTCCCATCCTTACAGCAACATAAACAAACAAATTCAAAACTTGAGTGAGACAAATGCATACAAAACGTTGAGAAATTTTTAATATTTGATAAAACCGTCCTTAATCCGCTGAATATTTTCAGTCCATTTGTAAAGTCATTACACGGTGAGAAATATTAAGCAGAACGAATGCCAAGATAATCCATTCTGAAATTGAATCTGTCGGACACTTAAAACCAAAAGGATCACCGAGCGATCTGTGTCAGCTATTCAAGTTTGGTGGCTTGACATGCCTTATAAAAAGTCCTCATCATATAGTTTGAAAGGTTTTCTGACAATCGAAATACCAAGATTCTATTTCAACACAGAATTAACGAATCAAAGTTTATCCGATTGGGACAGACTACGTTCATCCGTTTAGCGTACGAAGCATTTTTGATTGTCTCGTATTAAATTATGTCAAAACACGGTTCTTATTCGAAAATCAGGCTAAATCATATCAGAAGTACTAAATACATCAAACGGTACAGCCGGTGCCGTAATGTCAAGGGATCCTCTCGCGCAAACTAACGTGCTAACAGCAGAAAATGGTTAGTAGGCAACAGTTAAGCACCAGAGAACCAACAAAAATATTCCCATGAAGATGAGACTAGACATCTATCTGTAAGTGTTTCAACAACCATACATGCTGTGACCTCGATTTTAGTCAAAAATGACTTTATTTTCAATGGTCTGGTAAGATATAACATTTAGTTAAACAATAAAAGGCAAATCTTTAACCAACGTCAAATAACAAAAGCACCTACAAGAAAGACCGAAGAACACAATGTGTGGTTTAGAAGACACCCGGATATAGGAGTGGAAAACAGCTAAATGACGATTGTGTTCAGTGAAATGTTGGGGATTTTTAGCGTTTTTTTCCGCTACAAGCTGCGAGGATTGTATTGTGAGATTTAAATATAAGCATGTCCACTTATTTCCGTTGATCGTTTTTCCCTAAAAATTTCCACCCTTTTATCTTCCGGCAGAATAAAGCCACCGAGTATCGGAATCCACATTGATCAACTGCAATAAAGTTCGGGTGTTATAAGTGTTTTGATAGCATATGAACCTCCTGTAAAGTCTCAAAACCTAGCTCGGCCTGCTGTGCACAATACGACGCATCAGTAGAGTGGACTTGTTCAGAGCTATTACTACCAGTTTATAGTGCAGCTATCAAAAGGTGCAAGATAGATCTATCCTTCCTTAGATTGATGGATATTCATCTTGTCGGACTGCTTTTACTATTAAGTCACAAATTAACCGACCCTGTTTGTATATCAGATATCCTACTACCAATACTCGATATAATATGAATTGCATTAACCTTCCACTGAGTCAGTGTGCCAGGTATCGAGAGGGTTTCTATGAAAATTCAGTCGAGAACGCCAGAACACAGCTATTTGACTAAACTTCCTCCACTCAAGAGAGTATTGCTGATTTGGTCGAACCGTAGTGGCTGGTAGGATATGTTCATTTGTCACAAACAGCAATTACTGATCCTTGTTTTGCTTATCTTTATTGGTCATGAATAAGGCTGTCTGATAGCTGAGTTCGACTTTAAGTGTTGTTTGAAACGAAACGAAAAGAATAAACCGGAATGTCTCTGGGAGCAGTCAACTGGTAACAATTACTCCAGTTGATATGTAACAGATGATAGCAACTGTAACAGAAATGTGATGAGTCAACTGTGGACTCGGGGTCTTTGACACTGAAGTTTCTCATTCGTTTGTAGCTTAGATGAATGACGATGGTTTCAAGTATCTACTTAACGATTACGCTGCGGAACGCTTCGGATACCATAAACTGTATTGAGACTGGAAAATTCGAGGATTAAAGTGCAGCCCTTAAGGCATTTTCCTACTTGTTTCTGGTCCTTGCTTTTGTAAACTTACACCGTAATAATCGGACATAATAATATATTTCTGTCAAGGCAGGTGCATGCCATCTGATAGTCTCCCATTTAGTACGTGATGGGTATGATGCAACCCATTCATGTTTTTAGGCTGGTGTTTGGGGGATTTCGAATAATGTTTTTGGGCATCAAATTTTCTACCACAATCACGACTAATGAATATGATAATTGTCTAAAAACGTGCCACATATATTTCGGCTTCCCAACTCCTTTGTCCGGCACTTTGTGGTGGACAGAGATGAATTGTTCTAATAAATATTAACAATAATTACTGATTGATTTGGTGCAATTTTGCTAGGTGTACGATCATACAATTTCGAGAACGAACAGTACCTTTGGATGTTGCTATGTAAGGGAATTTGTTTTTTTTACAGAAATCTCTACCATTCACGACTTATCACAGGATGCGTTTGTAGTCTTGTTAAGAGTGGTAGATTCTGGAAGAGTAGGATCCATTTTACTTTCCTCTGCCGTCAGAGACTTCACTTCTGAAATTTATTCACTGCGGCTGACCTCTTATATGAGTATGATACATTTTTAGTTGAGTCTTCCCTGAGTAGCGAACAATTTTGCGCACTTCAATAAATACTGGGGTAACACAGGTCCTTCATGAGTGATTGAAAAACGCACATTGCTACAGCGAGGTTTAGTTCAAAGTTGTCAATATTTAGCTTGTATGTCTCTGATAATAGGTGGAATTTAAGATCGAGTTGCCACATCCTAACTCGATTAATCTGATTACGAAAGAGAAAATTAAATGTTACTTGCGGCTGTAGACTTCAAAAAACTGTTTAGTTCTTGAATCTTTCATATCCTTATTAGTATACTCCTGTATATACCATGATGATCGATACATTGCTAACACTGAAAACATGGCAGAGGAAATCCCATAAAATTGTAATTGTAGTTCGGCTCATGAGTAGAATATGAATATTTCTACTAGTCAAAAATAAACAAGAAAAGTATAGCGGCCTGTTTGCCAACTGGTTGTCATTTACCAAAGGTCGACGTAAAACTAGTGCGTGCAACTATTGTGACTCTCCCAAGGTCAGATCAGCAAAATAATCTGGCATTTAAAGATATTTATCGTCTGCCTGAATAAAATCAACTTGTAACTATCATGTGATTTGCGATACTTTGTTTTGTCCGACAGTATTAGTTCTTCAGTTGCACTACCCACCTCAATACCAGTAACACTGATGGATACTTTACCAAACAATCATAATAATATCGAGAATTACACTATTTTCTAGAAATACTGCAATTTTTTATGTACAGTTTACTCTCCACGGTTTTACTACGTATTGACTATAGTCATGGATGCGCAACATCAACTCAGTGCTAACTAGTCAAACAATAGTTTGCATACGTCCTTCAATTGATAGCCAGCCGGTGTGGTGTTACGGCTAATCCTCTGGTCAACATTTTTACGTCACTCGTAGCTATATGACTAGAAAGCTCTGATTAGTGTTTGGTAATATGCATAGCGAAGCAAACGAAAAAACGGTTGTTTTTGAGATATCATTACCTGATGACGAGGGCTGCCATGAATGCTCTTATCTCGAGCTGTTTCAACAACACCTGGTACTATCACGTAACATGTTTATTATCAGTTTGTTGTTCTGTTTGACTGTTTCTACTATCTTCATATTTGTCGGTTTTATTTTGCTTCTTGTATTTTCTCGACTAACTAAGATATATGCTGTTATTACGGTGTACTTATTGCCCAGTCCATTCTTATTGGCCAGGGCTCGACCTTGAGCGTGGGCGTCGTACTGTTGTGCTGACGTTAGCTACAGACTCTGTTTTTAGTAAAATAACACGTTTTTATTTTGAATATATCAGGAATCAAATAATAATCAAAAAAATGGGGATAACCCTTTCGCATCCAATGAAGCTGCAGAAGAAAAAAAGCTTTCTGACCTAGCTAAGGCACTCGAGAGGAAATATGTAAGTAACATGTCGTTTGTGTAACTTAATTTCAGGGGACTATGGTTACTATGAAGAATAGTGGAAAGCACAAGCGAGTTCGTATAGATGATTTCTTGGACCCAGGAGATGGATACGATACACAAGATTCATTTATCGATGATTCCGAAGCTGTAGGGTCCCTTCACATTTTCTATTGTAATATGCAGATTGATGTATTTGTGGCCCCGAACATTTCTACTAAGTTTGGAGGATATTTGTACATCAAGGAACTGTTGAAGGACTTGAAGATCAGAGTGCGAAAATTGAGGCCCCTTGGAGTGCAAGGATATTGGTTTGTGTAAATGAAACTGATTCCATTATCCGATAGACAAATACTAATTCATCTCAAAACGTTATGAGGCTGGTGTTTGGGGGATTTCGAATAATGTTTTTGGGCATCAAATTTTCTACCACAATCACGACTAATGAATATGATAATTGTCTAAAAACGTGCCACATATATTTCGGCTTCCCAACTCCTTTGTCCGGCACTTTGTGGTGGACAGAGATGAATTGTTCTAATAAATATTAACAATAATTACTGATTGATTTGGTGCAATTTTGCTAGGTGTACGATCATACAATTTCGAGAACGAACAGTACCTTTGGATGTTGCTATGCAAGGGAATTTGTTTTTTTTACAGAAATCTCTACCATTCACGACTTATCACAGGATGCGTTTGTAGTCTTGTTAAGAGTGGTAGATTCTGGAAGAGTAGGATCCATTTTACTTTCCTCTGCCGTCAGAGACTTCACTTCTGAAATTTATTCACTGCGGCTGACCTCTTATATGAGTATGATACATTTTTAGTTGAGTCTTCCCTGAGTAGCGAACAATTTTGCGCACTTCAATAAATACTGGGGTAACACAGGTCCTTCATGAGTGATTGAAAAACGCACATTGCTACAGCGAGGTTTAGTTCAAAGTTGTCAATATTTAGCTTGTATGTCTCTGATAATAGGTGGAATTTAAGATCGAGTTGCCACATCCTAACTCGATTAATCTGATTACGAAAGAGAAAATTAAATGTTACTTGCGGCTGTAGACTTCAAAAAACTGTTTAGTTCTTGAATCTTTCATATCCTTATTAGTATACTCCTGTATATACCATGATGATCGATACATTGCTAACACTGAAAACATGGCAGAGGAAATCCCATAAAATTGTAATTGTAGTTCGGCTCATGAGTAGAATATGAATATTTCTACTAGTCAAAAATAAACAAGAAAAGTATAGCGGCCTGTTTGCCAACTGGTTGTCATTTACCAAAGGTCGACGTAAAACTAGTGCGTGCAACTATTGTGACTCTCCCAAGGTCAGATCAGCAAAATAATCTGGCATTTAAAGATATTTATCGTCTGCCTGAATAAAATCAACTTGTAACTATCATGTGATTTGCGATACTTTGTTTTGTCCGACAGTATTAGTTCTTCAGTTGCACTACCCACCTCAATACCAGTAACACTGATGGATACTTTACCAAACAATCATAATAATATCGAGAATTACACTATTTTCTAGAAATACTGCAATTTTTTATGTACAGTTTACTCTCCACGGTTTTACTACGTATTGACTATAGTCATGGATGCGCAACATCAACTCAGTGCTAACTAGTCAAACAATAGTTTGCATACGTCCTTCAATTGATAGCCAGCCGGTGTGGTGTTACGGCTAATCCTCTGGTCAACATTTTTACGTCACTCGTAGCTATATGACTAGAAAGCTCTGATTAGTGTTTGGTAATATGCATAGCGAAGCAAACGAAAAAACGGTTGTTTTTGAGATATCATTACCTGATGACGAGGGCTGCCATGAATGCTCTTATCTCGAGCTGTTTCAACAACACCTGGTACTATCACGTAACATGTTTATTATCAGTTTGTTGTTCTGTTTGACTGTTTCTACTATCTTCATATTTGTCGGTTTTATTTTGCTTCTTGTATTTTCTCGACTAACTAAGATATATGCTGTTATTACGGTGTACTTATTGCCCAGTCCATTCTTATTGGCCAGGGCTCGACCTTGAGCGTGGGCGTCGTACTGTTGTGCTGACGTTAGCTACAGACTCTGTTTTTAGTAAAATAACACGTTTTTATTTTGAATATATCAGGAATCAAATAATAATCAAAAAAATGGGGATAACCCTTTCGCATCCAATGAAGCTGCAGAAGAAAAAAAGCTTTCTGACCTAGCTAAGGCACTCGAGAGGAAATATGTAAGTAACATGTCGTTTGTGTAACTTAATTTCAGGGGACTATGGTTACTATGAAGAATAGTGGAAAGCACAAGCGAGTTCGTATAGATGATTTCTTGGACCCAGGAGATGGATACGATACACAAGATTCATTTATCGATGATTCCGAAGCTGTAGGGTCCCTTCACATTTTCTATTGTAATATGCAGATTGATGTATTTGTGGCCCCGAACATTTCTACTAAGTTTGGAGGATATTTTGTACATCAAGGAACTGTTGAAGGACTTGAAGATCAGAGTGCGAAAATTGAGGCCCCTTGGAGTGCAAGGATATTGGTTTGTGTAAATGAAACTGATTCCATTATCCGATAGACAAATACTAATTCATCTCAAAACGTTATGAGGCTGGTGTTTGGGGGATTTCGAATAATGTTTTTGGGCATCAAATTTTCTACCACAATCACGACTAATGAATATGATAATTGTCTAAAAACGTGCCACATATATTTCGGCTTCCCAACTCCTTTGTCCGGCACTTTGTGGTGGACAGAGATGAATTGTTCTAATAAATATTAACAATAATTACTGATTGATTTGGTGCAATTTTGCTAGGTGTACGATCATACAATTTCGAGAACGAACAGTACCTTTGGATGTTGCTATGCAAGGGAATTTGTTTTTTTTACAGAAATCTCTACCATTCACGACTTATCACAGGATGCGTTTGTAGTCTTGTTAAGAGTGGTAGATTCTGGAAGAGTAGGATCCATTTTACTTTCCTCTGCCGTCAGAGACTTCACTTCTGAAATTTATTCACTGCGGCTGACCTCTTATATGAGTATGATACATTTTTAGTTGAGTCTTCCCTGAGTAGCGAACAATTTTGCGCACTTCAATAAATACTGGGGTAACACAGGTCCTTCATGAGTGATTGAAAAACGCACATTGCTACAGCGAGGTTTAGTTCAAAGTTGTCAATATTTAGCTTGTATGTCTCTGATAATAGGTGGAATTTAAGATCGAGTTGCCACATCCTAACTCGATTAATCTGATTACGAAAGAGAAAATTAAATGTTACTTGCGGCTGTAGACTTCAAAAAACTGTTTAGTTCTTGAATCTTTCATATCCTTATTAGTATACTCCTGTATATACCATGATGATCGATACATTGCTAACACTGAAAACATGGCAGAGGAAATCCCATAAAATTGTAATTGTAGTTCGGCTCATGAGTAGAATATGAATATTTCTACTAGTCAAAAATAAACAAGAAAAGTATAGCGGCCTGTTTGCCAACTGGTTGTCATTTACCAAAGGTCGACGTAAAACTAGTGCGTGCAACTATTGTGACTCTCCCAAGGTCAGATCAGCAAAATAATCTGGCATTTAAAGATATTTATCGTCTGCCTGAATAAAATCAACTTGTAACTATCATGTGATTTGCGATACTTTGTTTTGTCCGACAGTATTAGTTCTTCAGTTGCACTACCCACCTCAATACCAGTAACACTGATGGATACTTTACCAAACAATCATAATAATATCGAGAATTACACTATTTTCTAGAAATACTGCAATTTTTTATGTACAGTTTACTCTCCACGGTTTTACTACGTATTGACTATAGTCATGGATGCGCAACATCAACTCAGTGCTAACTAGTCAAACAATAGTTTGCATACGTCCTTCAATTGATAGCCAGCCGGTGTGGTGTTACGGCTAATCCTCTGGTCAACATTTTTACGTCACTCGTAGCTATATGACTAGAAAGCTCTGATTAGTGTTTGGTAATATGCATAGCGAAGCAAACGAAAAAACGGTTGTTTTTGAGATATCATTACCTGATGACGAGGGCTGCCATGAATGCTCTTATCTCGAGCTGTTTCAACAACACCTGGTACTATCACGTAACATGTTTATTATCAGTTTGTTGTTCTGTTTGACTGTTTCTACTATCTTCATATTTGTCGGTTTTATTTTGCTTCTTGTATTTTCTCGACTAACTAAGATATATGCTGTTATTACGGTGTACTTATTGCCCAGTCCATTCTTATTGGCCAGGGCTCGACCTTGAGCGTGGGCGTCGTACTGTTGTGCTGACGTTAGCTACAGACTCTGTTTTTAGTAAAATAACACGTTTTTATTTTGAATATATCAGGAATCAAATAATAATCAAAAAAATGGGGATAACCCTTTCGCATCCAATGAAGCTGCAGAAGAAAAAAAGCTTTCTGACCTAGCTAAGGCACTCGAGAGGAAATATGTAAGTAACATGTCGTTTGTGTAACTTAATTTCAGGGGACTATGGTTACTATGAAGAATAGTGGAAAGCACAAGCGAGTTCGTATAGATGATTTCTTGGACCCAGGAGATGGATACGATACACAAGATTCATTTATCGATGATTCCGAAGCTGTAGGGTCCCTTCACATTTTCTATTGTAATATGCAGATTGATGTATTTGTGGCCCCGAACATTTCTACTAAGTTTGGAGGATATTTTGTACATCAAGGAACTGTTGAAGGACTTGAAGATCAGAGTGCGAAAATTGAGGCCCCTTGGAGTGCAAGGATATTGGTTTGTGTAAATGAAACTGATTCCATTATCCGATAGACAAATACTAATTCATCTCAAAACGTTATGAGGCTGGTGTTTGGGGGATTTCGAATAATGTTTTTGGGCATCAAATTTTCTACCACAATCACGACTAATGAATATGATAATTGTCTAAAAACGTGCCACATATATTTCGGCTTCCCAACTCCTTTGTCCGGCACTTTGTGGTGGACAGAGATGAATTGTTCTAATAAATATTAACAATAATTACTGAGTGATTTCGTTCAATTTCCTCCAGCGAATTCTAGCTTTTGTCATCTGTGAAGGAGTAGAAATCCTCTCTTCAGCCCGTTCTGCTCTGTTTTATCTCCAATTTCTGTGTGTTACCCCTTAGATTGTTATTGAGACCAAGCTTAAGTAGGTGTTTACGGGAATGTGTAGAAGTGTCAAGGATACTGTAGTCCATCAGGAGGTCACCTCTAAGACCCCTATACTCTAATGTGTAAAGGTTAGGTGATTGGAGGCGCTGTTCATAAGATTTGAATTTGAGTCCTTGGACTAATTTCGTGACTAGCCGTTGGATACGCTCCAGTGTGTCCTTACCTTTTTGGGGTGAGGGATGAAATACTGTGTTTCCGTACTCTGAATGTGGAAGAATAAAACTGTTGATTATAACATGGAAAGTTCTTCCGTCACATTGGTCAAAAAACGCTCTTCAGTGTTACCAGTGCAAGGTTTGCTCGAAAGGCATTTTTGCCAAATTTAGCTTAGGACTTTAAATAGTAGGGCACCAGGACTCCTAAATCTTTTTCGACTTGATATACTACTAGAGAAGAGTTTCCAAAGTTGTTACTGTGGTCTGCGACATGTCGCAGATGAACTACTTTACACTTTGAAGTGCTAAAAGTAAGCCCGTTATCGTCCGCCCAACTTTGAAGTCGAGTCAGATCCTCCTGAAGTGCCTGTATGTCGTCCTGGTTGCGTATCACTCTCCAAAGTTTCACGTCGTCGGCAAAAAGTAAGAAGTCTGACGATACCTGTTGAGGAAGATCATTGATGTAGATCAAGAAAAGAAGAGGTCTTAGTACTGAGCCCTGGGGGACCCTACTAGGACGTTCCACAGCCTGAGAGAAAGAGAAGTTAACCCTGACCTTAAAATGCCGATTTTCAGGTATGAAATGAGCCAATCAATTAGAAGTGGTCTGATACCCAAGCGTTAGAGCTTATTGATAAGACATATATGGTTTACCCTATCGAATGCTTTAGAGAAATCAAGGTAGGTGATATCAACCTTCCCCTTGCGATCAAGGATGCTTGTCCATCTGTCCACTGCAGTCAGCAGGTTGGTTGTGCAAGAGTAACCCTTCCTGAAACCATGCTGTTGGAATGAGAAGAAATTTAAGGACAGTAAATAGTCATGTATACCATCGCATATCAGGGACTACATGATTTTTGAAGGTATAGAGAGAAGAGCTAACGGTCGGTAACTTGAAGGTTCGCTGCGTCGACCTCCTTTGAAAATTGGTGTGACGTGAGCCAGCTCCCAAATTTCCGGTAGTTTTTCTCGACTTAGCGAGTGTGAGAATATCACGCTAAGTGGTGTTGCCAGGATTGAGGCTGCTTCCCTCAGTATAGCAAAATGAACCATATCTGGGCCAGGAGAAGTATCTTTTCCTAGGTGTTGCAGTTTCCGGAACACCAAGTCATCGCTCAGGTTTACTACGAAAAGTCCTGTGCAGTTGAAGAGGAAGCCGTCATCAGTATAGTTGATGTGGGTCGGTTGTAATGTCCGAGAGTATTGTTCAGCCAGAAGGTTAGCGGCGCCGCCGTCGTCGTTGGTCTAGCCAGTGGGACCTAGTAGTTGGGAAACTCCAGTTTTGGCTTGACGAAGAGAGGCTGCACAACAGAATAAGCTTTTCGGGTTGTAGATAAATTTATCCACAAGCTTTATCTGGTACTGAAGTCCGTCTTCTCTTATAGCCATCGTGCATATGTTCATTATATGTTTGTATTGCATATACGCGCTGTTGTTGTCAGTTCGTTTGTATTCTGTCCAACAGTGCGTTTTGCGGCTTGGCAGGCTAAGAGTGCGGTTCTTGATGATTTTTGGGTTACTTGTAGCTTTTGAGGGCCGTTTGAAGAACTGATTGCTTTGTAGCACATAAGAGTGTGTGCAGTAGGAAGTCCCAATGAGCATCCACATCAAGTTGAGGGTGAACATCTCAATCATTCAACATTATTTTATCCTGTAGCGCCAAAAGAATCCTTTAATCCCAATTACGCGAGGATCGCACCCCTTTATAGTAAAAGAATTTTTCTTGCAATCCAGTAACAGATCACGAGAGATCGGCCACCTGCCGTTTCAATCCAACAAAGCTCGGAAGTTTGATAATACCTTGCGAAAACTCTTTTACTCCTGCTTATTTCTACATAAGATGGCCCTAACCTGAAGAAATCAGTGGATCTCTACCAATAAAACATTAAGGTAGTTACACGAAAGCCATTGTTTCATCGACAACCATTTGGAGTAAACTACAAAGTTTGAAAGTTGGAAGGCGGATGGAATGAACTTGGCGCTTCTCGATGTGTAGTAAAGTTGACAATTGCTCCTCAAAGTTGGAAAGTATTGATGGTGAACTGTCAAAGATAGAAGAAAAATTATCAAACTTTGACGAATGCAGAAAGAGAACGTTTAGTTTACTAGAATTACAACTAGAATCCCTTCAGTCTGTGCTTCAAAATGGCAAGTCATATTCTACAATGTTTACAAGATATAATAAATCGAATTTTTGTCTGCCTGAATATCCAGTGCATTTTTTGTCTTTTTTGTCTGTGTTTTCACTCAGTTTGCTAGCCTAGGTTTGCGTGATCAGAACCTTATGCCTCGAAATTAAGAAAATTGATAAAATAAAGAGTATTAGTTGAAAGTAAGGTCTACATAAACGAAGTAACATTGTGAAAATAATGGAGAATTTCCTTCGTCGGTCTGTCGCTTGTTTATTAAATCGTCATGCAATTTCTCAGCCTCCAATTTCCGTGTTTCGGTCGAAGGTGGAGTCTGCTCTCACATGGCCACACGTGTACAACCTCTTGCAGGGAAGTCCTACACACTGCCTTCTCGCGGCATTACCCCTGTTTACGAAGTTAAAAGGACGGAAAGCGAATGTCCGGAGCTTTAACCAATTTGGTGGACGCGGAGGGTCCACATAGAGGAGTTGGAAAACCCTGATTCTAAACCAATAGTACACATACGCTCCAGTATCCTAAAGGAACAAATGGCATTTGAACCAATCGTTAGACACCGGCTACCATAGGACTGCATCTCTTGCGTTGCTCCACTGCTCTGTGGATTAGACCTTAAGGTCAAAGACTCCGGGTGTGGCCTCCTATAAAAACCACCTGCTTTGGCATGGGAACCGGGTAGTATCATAGCCTTTACACAAATCAAGTGACTTGTGTGGCGCATATGTACTCGGTGCCTTTTTGTATCAATATTTATGTGTTCAAATAGGTAAAATGATAAGTATGGCAGGCAATATACTGTTTTTGGTTTACAATCCTCAATTTCCAATGAATTTTATTCAGTATAAAATTAAAGTTCGTTGAATAATTATTACATTGGCAGTCATATCCTCCTCAGCAAGTCAGTCCACGATCATACCTCACCGATCTAAACGACTAGAAATAGTAAACGTAGCGACATTGTCGAGTCTGCCACGTCAGACGATGTCGCTTTCTATGTTTAAAGTTGGTGTTTGCCAGAAATAGTTATCTGAACATAGTTGTAAAAGGCCCGCCATTGTCTGTTCGCTGAGCCGCAACACGTAAGATCCTTCAAGTGTCTTTCACTTTGTTTAAGTCTACCTACCTAAGCATAAAAATAACCTCCCACTACTATTATTATTCTAGGACGACTAGCTTTTTGAAAGATGTTGGAAGGCTTCTTACGAAATTCATTTTTAATTTCATCCAAGTTGCAATCATTGGGAGAGGGGAGGCAAAACAACTAAAGGGCAACGACATATGTCCCGATCTCTTCCAGTTCTTATTGTTTTGTTAGTTGAGCAACATATAAGTGACTGTCTATTGGAATCTTGTCTAACAGAGCCTATTGTGCTTTCAAAATTGATCCCTTATCGATACCTTCAAGGTTACAAGAAGTAACAGTGGGATCTTCTGGTATAATAAGGGTAAATCGCTCCGGTTCTTTATACTTACACGTTGAGGTCAAGTGAGTGACTGTGCATGAACTCTGTATGCGCTTTTCGGCGATGCAGTATACATCAATGGTGTGAGACTTTAGAGTCATAGTAGAGAAGCCATTTGTCCTATCTGACACAAGGTTCGAACTTTAAAAAACTCCAACGCGTAGTTTAGAGCATGGTTTCAGGAGACCAGCTATAATACTTCGTCAAATCAAATCATTGGCACCGGTGGCTCATAGCGACAAAAAATATATGAGGAGGGTAAGTCGTGGGAATGGGAGAATAATTAGTAGGTAAACAAGGAATTTGATCGTCAACAAGGTGATCTCACAGGCTGGTAGAGGTATGAAGGCGGTCGCCACTTCCGAGTTACTCACACCGTGGAAGGATTCCTTGTGAACTTCCGCAAAGAAGCTGAATTAGTGATGGTGTTAGCAACATGGAAGCGTGACCACAAAGCCCAGTGAATAACTGCTTGAGGCCGGTCACGCGTGTTCTTTTTACGGTGTTTAATGTGTTAGCTCCTCACTTCAAAAGGTCTTACTACCGGTGACAAATCCATGGGTTAAAATGACGTGTGGCATTTTAAGGTCAATATTTCTTAACTCTCGTTGTGAAAAGGCAGAATCGCTGCGGATGCTGGTTGTTCTAGGGGAAAATCTTGCTGTTACCATATTTCTCTGCAGTCAGCATCACGACTTCGCCCTCAGACTTTTAGTTGCTGATTTTAGTTTCATGGTCCTTCGACCTACCTACCTGGTATAATAGGACCTAAATAAGCATGTTCCAGCCATTATAACCCGGTCGAGTCATCACAATAGGCAAGCTCAACCACCACGTCAAGGTAGCAAT